TCCCTGAGAGCAGCCCCACCTTGGGAGCAGGAACAGAAGAGTTCTGTTCTGTGTGCTGGGAGGGAGTCACACTGCACAGATATTCGTGGGGCTCCTACAGAGACTCCTTTGATGAGAAGCCTCTCCACCCAGGACATACTTGCCAGAGAGAAACCAGATGCTTTGTTCTTATGTAAGATGTTCCGACATGTGATCATTTGAGAGAGGTGCCCTTTAAACATAACCATCAGCTACATTTAAAAGTAGAGAGCTGAAAGTGATTATAGAAATTGTTTCATTCACCCCCTCAGCTTTACTTAAAAAGGAAACTGAGCCCAGACAACTGACAAGCTCAGAGTCATGAGAGATTTAGTGCTGCTGGTCTCATGACCCTTTCTCTACTGCTCATTTCTGATGAAGAAACCATTTAACTTGAACAGTAACTTGAAATAGTCCCAGAGTATAGATAAGTTCTCAGCCCTTGTTGGTGTCGAGAAAATACAAGGTCCAAAAATGTGTGCCTTGCCTCTGTTTCAGGAACCTTTAGAAGCCATATGGTTTTATATGTGTTGGTTAGAAAATTGCTACTTAGACCTCATCTTGGGTCATGATAGTACATTTCTATTCTCTCCTATGGTAGTAGCCATCTAATGAGCCAATTCACACCATGGCCATGTTGAAGTGAAGCGCATCAATTTCACGCTGTCAAAGAACTTGATCGTAGCCTAGTTAGATGCACCTGACTGGAGCCCCCAGCTAGTTCAGAGACTAGCTGCATGGCAGTGGGAAGGGAACAACCTTCTGTCATCTGTGTCCGAGATGGCTTTGGTTGGAGGATACAGACTGGTGAAGGAAGAAGGGCTTATCTGCATAGCCTTGTACCTGCATGTGGAAACTGGGATCGCTGTTCCTGGACGCCATGGAAAGCAGAGAATGAGTCACTGAAATGTGGAGAACTGAGGGGCCAAATGGGGACCCAGTTGGTTCAGTGTCTTTGAATAAGGCCTTCTGCAGCCAACATTGAAACTCCCAGAGAAAGTTTTCCCTCTAACAAGGCATTAAGTATTTATAGCTGATCTGGGCGGGTGGGGCCAGGGGAGGCTCCACTTCCTTTGATTCTCCTGCTATCAATTGGCTTTACAGGCCAAGGAATTTCCAAATTGTGCCATGGACTCAGGACTTACAAAGAGGATTAAAAGAAAGGCATTTAAAAATAAACAGGCTTTAAGTCTACCAGTGTGGCAATGGAAATAAATGTAAAAGTAATCATTTATTTTTGGTTTGATTCTAAAAGTAGTACATGCTCACTATGGAAAATATAGAAAATACAGAAAGGTGTTAACAAATATAGTATCCATAATCCCATCACCCAAACACACGCTTGCTAATTCATGAGAGCAGGACCTTGTGTTTCATGTCTGCTGCCACATCCTCAGTACTTGGAATAGTGCCTGGTACAGAGTAAGTACTTAATAGGCATTTGTTAAATGAATGAGTGTTACTATTTTGGTGTATTTATTTCCAGCCCTTTTTCTATGTATATTTTACATGATTGTAGTCAGTCATCATCATTCTATATGATCTTTTTGTTTTTTAACTTGCTATGATAACACAGGTATGTCTGTATCACAACAACTCTTTACAAACGTTTTTTTTTTTTGAGACAGAATTTCACTCTGTCGCCCAGGCTGGAGTACAGTGGCACTATCTTGGCTCACTGCAACCTCCGCCTCCTGGGTTTACATGATTCTCCTGCCTCAGCCTCCCAAGTAGCTAGGACTACAGGTACATGCCACCATGCTGGCTAGGTTTTTTTGTTTTTTTTTTTTTTTTGTATTTTTAGTAGAGATGGAGTTTCGCCACATTGGCCAGGGTGGTCTTGAACTCCTGAGCTGCAGTGATCCTCCCGCTTTGGCCTCCCAAAGAGCTGCGATTACAGGTGTAAGCCACCACACCCAGCCTCTTTACCATTTTTAAAGGTGCTTAGTATTCCATGTATTGTGTATACATCATTTGCTTATTGATGCTCATGTGGCTAGATATTTGAGATAAAATATCCATTGCAAAGGTAGTTTGCGAATAAGGCTTGCTGGGATGAGTAGACCAACTGGCTGTTTTACCAGGCTCCCTTATGTTCAACGGACCCTAAAAAATTAATGAAATCATATTCTGTTTTTTACTTTCATAGTCTCACTGCATTGCATGCAGAAGTGAAAATAATGGTAGAGGGAGATCTTGAAATTAGAATCAGGACATTACCTTGTCAGTCCATTGTAACTAAGAAATATCTTTTTAATATTGTGTTTTATGAAGCAATGAATTCCGAGAACTAGTCATTATGCTAAGTTCTGGAAATACAGAATATTAAGAATTCAACCGAATTAAAATACCTTCTATGTAGTCACTGCTTTCTCCCCTGTTAAAGAATTCCCTGGTTATCCTGGTTAGAGAAGGAAATTTTCTCCAAGTTAATGTAGCACCATCTGCCGCTGAAAAGGAAAATGATCATCTAGGAGTCCCTCAGGATGAATTCTCCCGTTTTAAACATTGACTTTTATGGAAATACAAGGGGTTTGACATGTGGTTTCTTGCAGGATCCCCTTGTGTCAGAACTGGATACAATCTTTTTCAAAAAGACTGAGTGGACTTCTGGCTCCAGATGGCTACAGAGTACACTTGATTAACCCCTCCTCCTGTTAGAAATTTCTATCAAAATTCAAAAAGAATATACAAATAGGGGGAAATGCATGTCAGAAACAGGAAACCATGGAAAGGGGCCGACACATTCTGGAACTCATGAGAACTTTCTGCACGACAAAGTGCAGGTGAGACTGGATTGAGGGAAGGGCTCATTAGCCTGCCATTGGCCACATAAGAGGGAAAAGCCAAGGGAATGAGGGGAAGATTCCAGTCGAGCCCTCATTACCTACCAGCTCACAGTGGCAGGGGCTGGAGCTGAGGGTGGGTTATTTGGCATACAGCGAAAGGCAAGCGTAGATCCTTCCTCTGCTCTGGAGAATGCACTGGGTGGATTTTTTCTGCAAACTATTGGCACATGAAATTAACCAGGCATTGCTAAGCCTGGTTTCTAAGAAAGGCAGTCAAGTCAGTTAGGATAGAGTTATAATAGAGTTTTGATGTCTCTAACAAACTCTACCCTGTAACACTAAGTCCCAGAAAGCATTTAAACCATCTAGTTTCCAGGTTGAGTAACCAATATCCAAAGATTCTATGCTCAGCCAATCATTCACATGTGACAACCACAGAAAGGCATTCCTAGACATGCAAACATTCAGAGAACTTTCCTGAAAGAAAACACACATGCGCACGGATGCACACACACACACAAAAGAATTACGGTAGAATAGTAAAACCAGTATAACTCAAGAATTAACTCAAGATCATCGTGGCTAACAAGTTATAAAATAGAATAACAATCAATCAGAAAACAGCTTCAGAAGAGAAATAAAGTAATGAATACCATCATCCACATTATCAGTCTCTATCCCTATATCCATCCCTAAAATCCCAGGAGAAGGAAGAAAGTAAAAGTTGTCTCAAAATCCCATCTTAGATGAGAAAGAGTCATGTTTTCTGTTTCATTACTGACCCTGGTATAGAAATGAATCTAAGTATGTTATTTAATATACTGCTCACATACTGCATACTCTAAAATATTTTTTCTAAATTATTAGTATAAAAGGAGAGCAAAGAAAATCTGATTGGCTGGGCATGGTGGCTCACGTCTATAATCCTTACACTTGGAGAGGTTGAGGTAGGAGGATCACTCGAGCCCAGGAGATCAAGACCAGCCTGGGTAACATGATGTGAAACACCGTCTCTAAAAAAATATGTAAAAATTAGCCAGGCATGCTGGCACGCATCTGTAGTCTCAGCTAGTCAGGAGGCCAAGGTGGGAGGATCTCTGGAGCCCAGGAGGTCGAGGCTAAAGTGAGCCGAGATCACACCACTGCATTCCAGAGCAACACAGCATGACCCTGTTCCATCCTCTCTCCCTCTCTCTCTCTCTCTCTCTCTCTCTCACTCTCTCTCTTTCTCTGTGTGTGTATATACACACACACAGAATGTGCCAACACACGCAAAGATTATGGTAGTGAGTAACAAAACCAATGTAACTCCAGAATTAAGTCAAGATCATTGTGGTGAACAAAGTTATACAATAGAATAACAATCAGAAAACAGTTTCAGAAAGATAAAGTAATTAACACTATCATCCTCATTATCAGGCTGTATCCCTCCACCCATCCCTAAAAATCCAGGATGAAGAGAGATACGTAATAAATTAACGCATACATTTGATTGAATAGCAAGATAGAAAAAGGATAAGAGAACCATAAGCACATTTAACAATATTGATTTTTAAAAGTCCTAAATTAAATATTTGCATATAGTATTCAGCAATGTTGTAAAATTATAATACCATTAATAATGCATGGACAGTTCAATATTAAGAAATCCATTAATATAACATTCATTCAACAAATATTTGTGTCTGTTATGTGCCAGATATGTGAGAACAATGTAACTTGCTCAATCCTTCTCTCGAAAACACCTGCCAGGCTCCCTATCCTCATCACTCTCTAGTTCTTTTCTTCATAGCACTTATTATTCTCTGTAATTATCTTCACCTTTATTTTGCTTGTTTATTGTCAGTCATCTTTCACTAAAATGCATTTTCTCCAAGATCAACACCCGGTGTGTCTTGGTCACAGCCGCATGTACAATGCCTAACAAAGAACCTGACCTGTCATAGCTGATGATTCATTCAATTTGTGTGGCATTAGCTTAATATTAATGTAATTTATTCAGTCGGTATTTGCAATTAAACAAATGAATGTATGTCTACGAGTGAATGGAGGATGGAGATTCTAAATCCCCGCTCTTACGGTGCTTATCATTTGGTAGGAGAGACAGACCATCTGAGCACTCCCATGGTCAGTGTCAAAATCCAATTTGGCTAAGCACGGTTGCTGAATAAAAAGACGGCAATTGTTTTGCAGGAATCTTCCACAGCATCCTCTCGAGAAAAGCCTGGAAAACTAGAAGCACAAAGTAGTAACTTCCTGTTTCCTAAAGCCTGCCACCAAAGGGCACGCAGCAACTCAACCAGTAAGTGTCTCCCCAACACGTCTTCAGGAACAGGGCTTAGCTGGTCCTGGGTAGCAGGAATATCGGGAGGAGGGTGGATTTCTTCTGGTCCAGTTGTACTAAACCAGCGTTGGAGTGTGCTCACCTTCTTCACAGTGTGTGCATGCTCTGGCTAGCCAGGGGCCTCTGCATTGGCTGTTCGAGCTCTGTGCAGTCTAGCCAGCTCCCTTCATGGCTCCAGGTCCCATGCTGGAAAGACCTGGTGCTGGGAAGAAGGGGCGGGGCTTTACTCCTGCCCTCCTGCTCTGCCTCCTCACATGCTCCTTGGTCCAGGGACGGCTTCTCTCTCTCAGCTGCAACTAGATGGAGGTTGAGGTGGAAAGATCTCATGATTTTTATTTGCTGAAAGTCGAAGAATGCCAATACAAAGTCAAGAAAATGTGAAGCAGGCAAGGATGCAGAAAAACCTGAAAAAATTAAAATCACACCAAATCATAGTATTAGAGAGAACAGATATTAACATATTCAGTTATTTCCCTTCTATGCCTACATATACTATAAAAACCTTTACACACACACACACTTATTCACATGTAACTACCTCATGTCACCAGAAACTCTTTGGTGTACACCAGTTTTTAGTGGATCCATGGTATTTCATGGCATGAATTTATGAAATCTAGTTGACCAACCCCCAATTGTTAGATATTTATAAAATCTACTTAACCAAATCCCTGTAATTAGGTATTTCAGTCATTTTCAGACATTCAGTCATATCTCATCACAAACTCAGACAAAATCATGAGATCTTTCAAAGAAAATGCGGAAGGCAGTGGCTGGTTCAGAGCTCACGTTTGGGAGCTAAGGCACTTGAATTCGGGTCCTGCGTCCAGAACTAGTGACCTACGTGACCTTGGGAGACTCCCTTAAAATCTCTAAGTCTCATATTATTCTGTTGTATGATGCGCCATCCTTAGTGATTTCCTATTATTGGAAATAAAAATATTTTTTAAAAGCTACTTGCTTTTTTATCATAAATTTTTACTTATTTTCTTCTAGCAAGATTTTCTAAAAATGGAATTTGGGGTCAAAAGATAGACGCAGTTTAAGGCTTTTTATCTATATTGCCAAATGTCAGTAGCTAATATTCTTTCAATAATGTATATGAACACCTATTTCTTCAATCATAGCCCACACTGGATTATGATTTGTAATAAATATTTGCTTTATCGCAATTTATAGCTTTACAGGTTTTTCTCCTTCCCCTTCCTCGTTCACCCATTCTGTTTTTTTACTGTTTTGTTTTACATGCAAGACCAGCTATATAGTTCATAGGGTTCAGTGTAAAATGAAAATGCAGGATTACTATTCAAAAAATATTAATAATTTCAAAAAGGTGGAAGAAAATCTTTGAACCAAGTTGGGATTCTTCAATCACAGGGCCCCAGGTGACTGTGCAGGCCACGTGGCCCTGAAGCCAGGCCTGCTCAGCCCCTGGAAGCTGACCCCCTCGGAGCTCCCTGGCTCTCTGGCTTCTGATTGAGTTCGGTCAACGAGAGGCATCAATACAAGACGGGCAGGTGGAAGAGGGCCGCGGGGCGTTTCCTCCCTGCTCCCCCACCTTGGTGCTGGAGTGCTGGCAGTGGCTGTGCGCCCCTGTGACAATAAATCGTGTCAGGGTGGCCTGTCGGCTCCAGTGCCCACACTAGGCTCTGGTAACGCTGTTTTCCCACTTTACCCCTTCAAGCCTGAGGGGTAACAGCTTCTGGTACCTAAACAGACCTTGTCATTTTCTAACTCTGCCCGCTCTTCTGTGTATGGCCCCCTTACTCTGTCCTCAGAATCCCAACTGAATGTGCCTTTTGTTTCTTTCCCAAACCCTGACTGATACACTGATAAAAATAGATGAAAAAAAGTACCTAGGCTGGGTGTCACGGCTCACGCCTGTAATGCTAGCCCTTTGGGAGGCCGAGGGGGGAGGATCACTTGTATCCAGGAGTTTGAGGTCAGCCTGGACAATATAGTGAGACCTTGTCTCTACAAAAAAAATTTAAAAAACAAACAAGCTCACCAGGCCTGATGGCTAATACCTGAGGTCCCAGCTACTCAGGAGGCTGAGGTAAGAGGATCACTTGAGCCCAGGAGGTTGAGGCTGCAGTGAGCCATGACTGTGCCACTGCATTCTGGTCCGGGCAAGAGAGGGAGAGCCTGTCCCTGCCCCCCTCCCACCCCGGCCGCCCCAGCTAAAAGACCACCTCTTCATACAGGTGAAGTTAAACATTCTTTCATTTATTTATTTATTTTGTTTTTGGTGAGTTTGCCTATTCTTTATTGGAATAATCATGGTTTTATCATTAATTTATAAAAAGCCTCTTGGCTAAATTAATATTTGATGTCATACTTGTTGAAAATACTTTCTCCAGTTTGTTTTTATTTTCATTTTTTTAACATTAAGGTGTTTTAATCTTTATATAATCAAGTTTACTGATCTTTTCTTTTGTAATGTGAAAGTTACTTCCACATCCAGGTAACTATTAGATCTGTGACTCTATATTCTTCTAATTTGTAAATGATTTGTCTTTTTTTCTCAAATTTACTGTATCATCTGTAATTTATTTTTGGTGTTTGGTTTGATGTAAGAATCTAGGTAGTTTTTTTTTTTTTTCTAAATGAATAGAGAATGATTCTGGCATCACTTATTTATAATCAGTTCCTTTTGTCTTTTTTTTTGTTTGTTAATCTCATGCAAATGATATGGGGTTACATCCTTGAACGCAAATTTTGCCATCTTTTTAAGAAGAGAAGCTCAAATAGTTGCCATTAGTGTTCAGATCATATTTACTTTTACTTAGCTCTTTCCATGCTTTCTATTTTGATGGTTCTTTGCCCTTTGTGTGTTCTTGGCCTCTTACTATAATGATTTTGAAAGGTTTATTCAATTTTTGTCTCCACTTCTGATGTCCTTTAAGTTTTAACTAATTACCCAATTAAGTTTAATCAATTAATACCTGACATAACATTTTCCAAATTGTCCCCCTCATGAACGATGAGGAAGTTAGCAGGGTGTTATTCATCCCTTTTCCATGGATTTTTCCATTTTTCAATTCAACGTAACTTTAAATTATAAACTCATTATTACATAATCATGACAATATATAGCTCCCCTTTCAAAAACCATTTTGTTTTGTTTTTTGCGTTGGGTTGTAATAACCACATTATTATTTTTTTTTGAGATGGAGTCTTTGAGGCAGTGACGTGATCTCGGCTCACCACAACCTCCGCCAAGTAGCTGGGATTACAGGCGTCTGCCACCACACCCAGCTAATTTTTTTAGTACTTTTAGTAAAGACTGGGTTTCACCATGTTGGCCAGGCTGGTCTGGAACTCCTGACCTTTGGATCAGTCTACCTCGGCCTCCCAAAGTGCTGGGATTACAGCAATAACCACGTTTTCAATTAACTCATTCAATACTCTATACTTAACTGGTTTAAACTCCCCCCAGTGGAGATGATAATTCTGATACATTTCCTAGTTGGCTGGAATGCATCCACAAGCAATCAGGAGCAGTGGGTGGAAGTAGGCACTGAAACCTACCCCAGACCAGGTAGAGTTTCGGAGAACCCACTCTGTCCTGACTCTGGCCCGCGTCCCCGCAGATCTGAGTGCCTAGTGGGAACTGGAATGGCCACACAGGTGGAGCTGGGTGTGGCCTGAGCAGCTGCCCTGGACTCTCCTGTGGCTCTGAGGTCTGGCTGATCTGCGCTGTGAACCATTCCAGGACGGCAGACTGTTCGTCCTCATTCCCTCTGAACCCAAACCATGCACCACTGCCCACTTTCAAGTCACAGGTCACCTCTGCACTGCTGTGGGATGAGGAGCGGAAGAGACTGGGATCCTGGAGGCTGGGGTTATGCCTCAGACTCTTTCTTCACTGTTCCAGAACCCTCTGGGCTCCCATTTCCTCACTGACAGAGTAAGGAGTAACTCCAGCAGCGGTCCCGAACGACAGAGGGTGGGCCGCCTGCGTCACCTGCACAGGCTGACAAACACACAGGTTTCCCCAGGCCCCATCCATACAAACACGGATCAACAGGTTGGGTGGAGCACTGAAATCTACCATTCTATGAAACACCCCTGAGAAAGATAACACACAGGCAGCTTTAGCACTAGGGGGTCTCTAGTCTCTCCTCTCACCCCCCTTTCTTGATTCTGTGTCCTCTCTTTGCAGCATGTGTGGTTTTCTGAATCTTCTGGCTTCCTCTCCCTCCTGGTCCATCTGGGAGCAAGTGGTCCCTGTAACTCAGGGAAGGCCACCTACTCTTGCCGAGGCAGCTGCTGGGAGCAGCTGTCCTCACAGAGGCATGTTTCCCCAGCCACTGTCCGAGCCCCGACGGACCAAAACCTCTCCTTCTTCACCTTGTCTTTGTCCCTTTCCTCATCCCCCGTTAGGGATCTCACACCCTCAGGGACGCCACTCCTCTTTCTTCTCAACCTACCCTGGCCAGTGGCATCTTCTCTTCAGCCTATAAATAAGCTTAAGTCTTTCCCATCCTGAACATAAAAGCAAACCCAACCCCGCTTCATCCTCTGTTTCCTTTGAACTACCACCAATCTTACCTTTTCCTTTAGGAGAGCTTTTTCACAAAAGCCTGTCCATTCACTGGAGCTTCGCCTGCCCCTCAGGACAGGAGGCAAACCCCGCCCCTCTCCTGGCCTCTAGAGCGGCCCTGCCCAACGCATTGGCCACCTGTAGTCTTGAGCACTTGAAATGTGACTTATCCAAACAGAGATGTGCACAAAGCATCAAAGACACTGGATTCCAAGACTGAGTACAAGAAGAAAAGGAAGTAAAATATCTCACTAATAATTTTACCTATTATTTATATGTTGCAAGAACAATCGTTTAGATATAACAGACCAAATAAAATATATTATTAAAATTAATCTCTCCTATTTCTTTTCACTTTTTTTTTTTTGAGATGGAGTCTTGCTCTGTAGCCCAGGCTGGAATGCAATGGTGCAATCTCAGCTCACTGCAACCTCCTCCTCCTGGGTCCCAGTTCGAGCAATTCTTCTGCCCCAGCCTCCCGAATAGCTGGGATTACAGACAGGCGCCACCACGCCCAGCTAAATTTTGTATTTTTAGTAGAGACAAAGTTTCACCGTGTTGGCCAGGTTGGTCTTGAACTCCTAATCTTGTGATCCACCCGCCTCGGCCTCCCAAGGTGCTGGGATTACAGGCGTGAACCCGGCCTCTTTTCACTTTTTAAAAGTGGTGGCTAGAAAATTTTAAATGGTATCGGTGGCTGGCATTATATTTCAGTTGGGAAGCACTGTTATAGACAATGATGACTTCAATCAGGTCATCTGTGAAGGTTTTCCCAGCTGGATGTGGTAGCGGGGCAGGGTAGAGTTCCTGGTTGGATGAAAGGAAGTCTGAGGTTTCCACAAAGTAGAGGAAGCCTGTCGCTTTGCATTTTTGTAGATACCCAAAGAATCAAGAGTTGTCTCCATGTGTGCATGTGCCTGTGTGAGCGGCAGCCAGAAGGCTCTCCCCCACCCCTGTTCTTGCGGGGTCTCCCCTGTTTGTGCCTGTCCTCGGAAACCTTTGTGTTTTCCTCCTTCCTCTCCTTGGTTGGGATTGAAAACACAGGAACTGGATCTGATGCAGCCTTTGGTGTCAATTCTCGCCGAACTGAATGGAAGTCAAATGGAAGTGAGAGCCCTGCCTGCACCCTGCGGTACAGATTGCATGCGTGGAGGTCGTGAAAATGCTGCCCATGTCTTCCACGGCCACCTCTCCCCACCACCACGTGGCACAGGGGCTGAGTGGTTTACAGTCACCCGGACCCTGGCCAATGAGGGGCTGGCAGTTGGTGGGGGCTGGTGTAGTTCTCAGTTGGAAGTTTGTATTTTGAGAGCACAAATGATGTCTTGCCGTTTTCCTCTTCCGGTTTAGGTGTTAATCCCTATTGCACGGGAGAAAGTGATTTTCCAACGACCAAGAAATCCGCAGCATCCACAGACAGGCAGCCTTATTCCCTCTGCAGTAACAGGAAGTCTCTCTCTCAACAGCTGGCCTGTTCAGCAGGAAAGGCTGCGGTAAGAATGAAGGGAGGGAAACTCGGAGAAGGGGGAGAAGGGAGGGGCCCAACACTAGCAGGGTCTGAAGAGACCTTCCCAGTGTTTTGTCCGCAGAACTACACAGGAAAGGGTCTCGCTCAGTAGGTACCAGCAGGTACAGCCACCCCTGGGCAGAGAACCGCATTAGAAATGGGCATCCATTGAGCGCCCCCTTGTGCCAGGCACTTGCAACTGCTGCCACGTCTATGCTGCCAAGAGCTAACACGTACAGAACACGGCCACGTGAGGACACCCTCAACTGTGGCTTTGCGTGGATCGCTTTATTTCGTCCACACATACTCCTAAAAGGTAGAAGAGGGAGCTGCAGCTGGACAAGTTAAAGGATTTATGCACGTTCACATTGTTAAGGAGAAACAGGGCTGGGACTTCAAGTCTGATCTTGACGACTCTGAAGCCTGTGCAAAAAGGCTTTTCACTCCTGTAATACAGTGATCTGCTTTACCAACATTGCCTCTAATGCCTAAAACAAGCTTAGAAAGGAATATGTTTATACATCTTAAAACCTATAAGGCCAGAACGTAGACTGCCCTGGGTGCTCCTCAGTCCATGGCCTTCCTACTTCACGTGTCAGCTTGCAGGCAGAGAGCTAAGCAGAGGAGAGCACAATGTACCCTGCACATGCCCCCACCCCCGCTGCACACGGTGGGGCACGCTACCACTTTTGGTCCCACAGCGCCCTCTGTCTGTAGCATCTCAGCCCTCCAAAGGAAACTGCCCCAGCCTTCAAACACCTTCCGAAGGTTCCCTTTCACCTGGGAACGCTCCTGATCCCTCCAAAGGCGTGGACTTCACATTTTCCCGAACGCCCATCAGGAGGCAACACTGCTTCTCTCTCTGTGCTCACCCAGGCTGTCTTGTGAGTGTCATTTATGTTAGCATTTCATCTCACCTGCTGACTCTCCCAAGGGGGGCTCCATGGTCAAGCAACGTTTCCCTGCATGGTACATAGTAGATGCTCAGTGAATTTCATTTCTCTCTTCCCTTCCTTTCCTTGCGTAAACGTGTTTTTCATTCCCAAACTGGGAGTGTGGTGTCCCAGTGTTAGAAGAAGATGGCTTCCCTGGTGCCTCCCTGAGCCAAGAACTTTCCCAGTTCCTGGTTTCCTGCACATCTGGGGTCATCCACAGCAAGCGCTGGGTCCCTGAGGATTGGGCCAGTGGGTACTTCCTGGGGAAAGCAGCTTCCTGTCTTTGCTGCCTCATGCGTTGGGATCCAGGCCCTTGGGAACAGGAGGCCTACCTGGCCAGCCAGGATGGGCTGAAGATCAGTCGGTAGTACCTGCGTGGGAGGCTATGTTGAAAAGGATGGAGGGGCTACATTCCACCAGCAAGGAGTGCTTCGGGAGATTAGCAGCGTTAGGGGACGGGAGTGGGAGACACAACTGTTGCCTCTACTCACTTAACTCCTCAAAGTTTAGGAGGCAATTAGACGCGCTATTAGTCAGAGACAGAACCAATAAGAGGTATATAGACAGACAGACACATACATACAGAGAGAGAGAGACAGAGAGAGATTGACTATAATGAATTCGTTGGTTCATGGGATTATGAAGGCAGGCAAGTTCCAGGATCTGAACGGTGAATTGGCAAGCTGGAGACCCCGGGCAGCCTATGGTTCAGACATAATCGAGTCTGAAGGCCTGAGAACCAGGGAAGCCAACAGTGTGGCTCCCTCCCAGAGGCCAGCAGGCTCAAGCCCAGGAAGAGCTGATTTTTCAGTCGGAGTATGAAGACAGGGAAAAGACCGATGTCCTGGTTCAAAGGCAGTCAGGCAGGAAGGATGCTTTCTTACTCAGGGGAGGCCGGTCTTTTTCTATTCACGACTTCAACAGATTAGATGAGGCTCACCTGCCTCAGGGAGGGTGATCTGCTTTGGCTACAGATTTAAATGCTTGTCTCATTCAAAAGCACCCTCATAGACACACACAGAATAATGGTTGACTAAATATATGGGCACCCATGTGGCCCAGTCAAGTAGGCACAGAAAATGAACCACCATAGATGTCCGTGCGTGACTTCATGTTGACTACATAGCAACCCTCCAAAGGAGGGGGAGAGGGAGTTACCACAGAAAGGGTGTTTCTGGAAGAGAAGGAGGGAGGGTGAGATCCACAGTGGATGGAAAGGCCAGGGCGTGGCTTAGAGCTACAGGACCTGGGTGTTTCCCAGGTGACTTTGGGGACAGCAGCCCATCAGGTGTGGGCAGTTGCAAGCCAACAAGAGAGAGGGCAATCCAGAGAAGAGGAGTTAGCATCCAGGGAATGCTAGTAATAAAGAAAACATGCAATCCACGTTCGCTGCCTGCCAGACATGAGGCTGTGTGTTCTACGTGGCTTCATGTATTTGTTACCTAAACAGCTGTACAGCCAAGGGGTACAACATAAACAGAGGTGTTAATGTCCACCTTTGACAGGTGCAGAGGCCAAGGCTGAGACGTTAAGTGGCCTTCCCAAGGTTTTCTAATTAGAAGCAGCAGGATGGATATGGATGCGGGCAGCTCAGAGCCCAGGTTTTGCTGCTTCCTCTGCTCAGGTGTCATGGGGCCAGCATCGGCCTGGGAGTCAGCATCTCCGAGATCAGAGAGCAGGGAGCAAGCAGCTGCCTCCACACTCACAGCCCGTGTGTCTGCTTTGATGGGCAATCAGGAAGCGCAGCCTTCAGCCCCAGACAGACTCTTTCCAAATTGTGAAATGCTGAAAGTAGCAAACAGTCTTGGAGTTTATGGTAACACCACGAAACATGTCTAAGGCACTTCCTATGTGTCGGGCAGTGTTCTAAGCACTCACATAGATTTATTCTTCAAAGCAGCACTATTAGATAGGCCCCATTAGGACCATGCTTTTACAGCTGAGGAAACTGAGGCAGAGATGGCTAAGTCATTAAGCCAAGATCACCCACCAGCTGATAATGGGCAGGGCCCGGAAGAACCCAGCAGTGGGGTTCCTGAGTGTAAGCTCTCACCACCAAGCTGTATTTTCCCTCTGCAGGGTGCTTCCAGTGGCTTCACTATTTGCAAATGAACTCTGCTTCTCATTCACAAATAGTTAATTGCCTGTCTGCCTATCCCAAAATTACAGCCTGAGTTTTTTGTTTTTTGAGACAGAGTTTTGCTCTTTCACTCAGGCTGGGGTGCAGTGGTGCAGTCTCGGCTTACCACAACCTCTGCCTCCCAGGTTCAAGTGATTCTCCTGCCTCCGCCTCCCGGGTAGCTGCGATTACATGCCTGCCACCACACCCAGCTAGTTTTTGTGTTTTTAGTAGAGATGGGGTTTCACCATGTTGTCCAGGCTGGTCTTGAACTCCTGACCTCATGATCTGCCTGCCTCAGCATCCCAAAGTGGTGGGATTGCAGGCGTGAGCCACCACACCTGGCCACATTCTGAGTTTTTAAGTCTTTGGGCTCCTGCCTCCTTGCCCACCACCTCCTGCCTGGCACAAGGGGAGTTCTCAGTAAATGTGTCTTGGATGGACATAGTCTCAAGGCATACTTGGTAGCGGGCTTTCCAATTTCTACCTGAGATCTCAGTTATGGGGCCCTGTCCCAGATGTTCACCTAGACCTACTTCCTTGACAAACCTTAGTGAGCCCTTTGGCTGCTCATCTGCAGGGAGGCTGGGCTCAGCAAAGCGGGTTCCTAGAACCAAGGAAGCCCCTCCCCACCAGAATCCGACCCACACCCCACTACCCACATTCTGGTTGTTATGCTTCCAGCAGTTAGGAGAGAGAGGACTTGGTTCCTATCCATGGCTGGGCTTTTCCCCTTCCCGGTGAGGCGTGTGCTGCTCCTGTGTGGCTAATCTTATGTCCACTCGGGTTCCTTGTTGCAGGGCACTTCAAGGCCGACACGGTCCCTGAGCACAGCTCAGCTCGTGCAGCCGTCCGGGGGCCTCCAGGCTTCTGTTATCTCCAACATCGTGCTGATGAAAGGCCAGGCTAAGGTGAGGAGTCACTTTTTAAAATTGACTTTTAAATTGTTTGTGGTGCTCAAAAGAAGGTGAAAGGGTAAAGGCCACCAAAACTCATGCACAGGTGACCAAAAATGGTTTCTGTTATCTTGATGTGAACAAAATGAACATTCAGATTACTCAGAGGAGTAATCTTTACAAGCCCGGGGGATAGAAGCCAATGAATCATTTGATACGGAAATCCTCATGTGCAGAGCAGGGATGATGAGTTCAGAAATAAAGCAGGCTTCCCACTCTCTGGCAATACAACCTACACCCCAAGATCTCGTCACTAACAGGATGACAAGTTAACAGTGAAGCCGGGAGAGGAGTTGGAGCCGGAAGGGTCAGCAGGTGCTGGAGGCAGAGTCAAAAGCGAATCGCGATAAAACCAGCGGCCAACACTGGGCCTTGTGCTATGGGCTTTGCAAGGGTAACTCCTGTGATCCCCAAAACAATCCTCCTACTATCTCCGTTTTGTCGGTGTGGAGCCAGGCACACTGGCTCACGCCTGCAATCCCAGCACTTTGGGAGGCCTCCCGTTTGAGTCCTGGAGTCGGAGACCAGTCTGGGCAACTTAGTAAGACCCTGCCTCTACCGAAAGAAAAGAAAATAAAAATTAACCTGGTGTGGTGGCACATGCCTGTAGTCCCAGCTGCCCAGGAGGCTGAGGCGGGAGGTTTGCTTGAGCCCAGGAACTCGAGGCCACAGTGAACTGTGATAGAGCCACTGCACTCCAGCCTGGGCAGCAGAGGGAGATGCTATTTCTAATAAATATCTATGTGTGTACGTGGGTATATAGATAGGAAGACGGACGGGGGACCGGGGAGATTGCAGGACTTGTCCAAGCTCACTTGGTTAGTGAGCAGCTGAACCAAGGCAATGACCCGAGGTGGCCTGACCCCTGGGCCTTGTTCTTAACCACGATGCCATCCTGCATCCCCAGCGCGGGTGAGACTTTGAGTCTAGAGCAGTTGTCTCAGCCAGGACGAGGCTGGGGCCCACGGAGGAGCCCTGGAGGGTCTCCTACCTCACCTTTTCTTAAGCCTGTGCTACTCCCGGGCGCCATTCGCCCTGCCCATCCTGGAACACATGCCACCTTCACCAGAGGCTTAGAACAGCTGCCCATCCCCACGGCTCTCCCACTGGCTCCCCACAGCGCCAGGAAGACGCAGACAGCCTGCGGTCCCTGTGGCACCGAGTGATGCTGCCATCTGCCAGGCTGTTCCACTAATTCACTGGCAGGTCTGCAGGCGGCGCTGTGCCCACCCTCCCTTCTTCCTGCCTAGACCTCACTCAGCCTTTCCCTGGACTTCCTGCCCGCCATCACTCTGCTGCCTCCTGGCTGCTCCCCAGCTGAGACTACCTGAGCTAATGAGTTTCTCCTCCCAGAGCCACCTGCGCAATTCTGGGATATGTTTATTGGCTCCTGGGAATCACCTGGGGTGATGGCAGATGGAGCAGGTGCAGGAGGGAGAGCACGTGATTGGAGGCGGGATCGTCCTTGGGAAGGGGAGTGGGGGGCCTTTGGTGGGAGAGGCAATGGCACTGAAGCTACTGCTGTTATTACTGCTGTTGATGTTTTTATGATTGCTGCTAGTTATTTTATTGTCAAACACAACCCTGGGAGTTAGGTCGTAACATCATTATTTTACAAGGAGGGAAACTGAGGCACGAAAGCAGAAGGTGATTGGCCCAGGATTGCCAACTGGAGAGACAGAGCCAGGGTGCTGGTCTCCATCCAGCCTCCCGCGAAAGCTCCAGACACTACCCGGCCCGGGCTGCCTCCACACCACTGCCATTGGTATTGCTATTTTTGTTGTTGTTAAGCCATGACACCTCTGAGACCAAAGGCACCTTCTCTCCTTCCCAGTCCCTTTGTTCAGGGCTGAGGCAGGTCCTTGGAAGGCATCAGCCCAATGGGAAGCGTGGAATACTACTCCTAAATCAGACCTTCTCTTCTTTCCCCAGGGCCTGGGCTTCAGTATCGTTGGAGGAAAAGACAGCATTTATGGCCCCATTGGGATTTACGTCAAAACCATTTTTGCAGGGGGAGCAGCCGCCGCGGATGGAAGGCTACAGGAAGGTAGGCTTCCCAGCGCTTTTCAAACCTCGGTGGAGGAATCAGAAGCAGAATCCAGGATTGCCAGGGCATAGAAGATGGTGGGAATGCAAAGTATGTCTTGAGCCGTCAGGATTCGGCCAACATGGATTCTGGGGTCTGCAGGCAGTGAGGACTCAGCTCCCCAGAGTGGGGCTTCATTATGACTGGCACGTTGGTCGTGCATGTTTGCACATTTAGCTCCTGGCACCATTACCTTTTAGCTGGTCCTAGGGCCAGCCTGGGTGGAGCCCAAGTCTAAGGGGTCTGTTTTTGACCCTCCGTCCAAGATCCTCAGCAGCTGGGATCCATTAACACCTGCCTCCTTCATTCTCCCTGTCCTTCCTAACTCACAACCATAGGGAAGCCGCGTTCAATGCTTCCAACCCTTGTAACAGGTGAGTCTGATAAACATTCGTTCACTAGGAGCCTACTGAATTCTAGGCTCTAGGAATGCAGAGAGAAACAGTCGGGCATAATTCCTGCTTTGAAGAACTCATGGTCTGCCAGCCGGGGACCCTCTCTTCCACTCCACACCCGCCCTTCTCCTGTCGACCCACCTGCTCTCAATTCTTTGATATCCTAGAGGACAGACTGCTCAGCCATCCTGGGAGGGAGGGGCGGGGAGAACAGAGCTGCCTGTTTTCTTGTCCTGAAGAGTCAGGGTTCCCCCCATCCTCAGCTTCACCCTAAAGTCATGCATGGATTATTGGGTAACAGGTTTGGCCCAAAGAGATCGCCAGGTTTCAACTCAGGAGGCAAAGTTCAGGGGCTGGAAGTCACAGGGCAGAGAGCAGCCACCGCGGGCCAAGGACTGGGTCACCCACCAGAGGTCTGAAGAGAAGTGACTTCGTAGTGTTCTCACTCTTCTCTGTCAGCTCGCTCTCTGTAGGCTGTGCTGGGGATCATCTAGCGGGCTTAGGGCAGGAGGGGCACACTAGAGTCTGTGGGCCAAGTCTGTTTTTAATATCTCACGAACAAAGAAAGGTTTTTACATTTCTAGATGGTTGGAAATTTAAAAGTGTTTTTGATTCTTTGAGGACATGTGAAAATGAAATGAGATCCAAATTTTGGTGTCCATAAAAAAGCTTCCATCTTGGGTGTGCCCGTCCATGCACCGGTCATCCGGCACCGTGCGGAGTAGATGCAGCTCACAAAGACTCAAACCTTCACTAGCTGCGTCTTTACAGAAAAAGTTTACCAACTTCGGCATTATACAGAATTATGCATGTGGATTTTAGGGTGTGGGCCGTGGCAAGCCTCTGAAGGTTTTTATACTATGGGAGGGACCCACTGCGACCGGGGCTTTTGGGGGCTTTGGAAATTAGAGTGAGGGATGAAGTGGGCTGGAGAAACCAGAAACAGAAAGGCCATTTAAGGGGCTGTGGTGAGGGGAGCCCCAGGCTCCAGCTCCAGGGACTGCCCGGAGGCGGTAACCCTGGGAGGAGACGGGAGCAGATGAGAGAAGTGACAGAGCCTGAGCAGAGATTGCCAAGGGTTGGGGGGGGGTGTGGACCAGAGAGAAGTGGTAGGTTTCTTGTCTTAGTAACCTAGAGAAAGGCACTGCCTTACATGGAGGAAGAGGCGCTGGAGAAGGAGAAAAAGGCAAACCAGGTTTTGAGCTGCAGAAGGGAGGGCGATGGCCGCCGATGACCACGAGGCGGCGCTGTCCAGCAGGAGAATGACAATTTGGGCATCCGTTCAGGGAGACAGAAGCAAAGGCAGACATTTGGGGAGCATGGGTATCAGGAAAACAGCTGAAATTACAGAGCAGATGAGAGACAGGAGGAGAGGAGAGGAGGGTGCCCAGACATGGGGTGAGGGTCTGGGAGGCCAGAAGGAAAGAGGTGAAGTAAAGAGGTGGGCAAGGACCATATTCAGCCAGGGCTTGTGTGCCTGCCTGAGAACCCCGGGTTTCACCCTGGAAGAGAGGGGGTGCCAGAGAAGGCCCACGTTGCTGCCCTGCCTGCCTGGCAAGGGGAGAGCACCGAATGGGAAAATGTTCTTCCAGAGCTTCGCAAATCATACAAAAAGCTGGGCAGGTAGGGAGACTAGCATTAAAGGTCATGATAATGCCCTTCGATTGGGCAACACTCTTCTTAGCGACACGTTCTCTCTCGCAACAGGTGATGAAATTCTGGAGCTCAATGGCGAATCAATGGCTGGACTAACACACCAGGATGCTTTGCAGAAGTTCAAGGTGACCCTTCCTTCCCTCCCTCCCTCCCTTCTTCCTTCCTTCCTTCTTCCTTCCTTCCTTCCTTCCTTCCTTCCTTCCTTCCTTCCTTCCTTCCTTCCTTC